GCACAATGCCAGTGCATTTATCACCTTCCTGTACTTCAACTTGCTGTGGATTATTTTCCATGATGGAGCAACCCACAACCCATCAAATTACTTGTCAGGCACCCTCCCAAGTAAAGTAACATTCTCAAACAAAAGGATTTTACCTTTTTTGCCCATCAAAGGGCATCAGTCCAGGTGAGAAGGGGAGCTGAGTACCATAGACCTCGCTGGGCACTCATCCAGTGCCCTCAGCGGGATCCCTGTAACACCCCTGCCACTGCTGGCATTTTAAAAAAGCCAAGGCAAAAGAGATGGAAGAAAAGAGCCTTCCCTTCCCCCATCCCCTCCCGTAAGTCATTTTCTCTGGCCCATTTTACAGGAACTGAAAATCTATTAGAGGAATAGCTTAATCCGGTTTGACTGTAATAATTAGGGTGCTTTTAAAAAACCCTGACTAATCGTATAAAATGTGATTGTAGACAGTTCAGTGCACGACCCTTACACTTATCACTGGAGGTATTACTACAAACCAGAAACAGCTGGCAAGCACGGAGGAGGATAAAGGGGAAAAAAAAATTCACATGCAAAGGGCCAGGGACCATTCCTTTTCTGATCTAACAGAGGCACTGGCAGCACCTTGAGCTGTCTTTCTAACATGGATCCAAAGCATGAAATCATCTCCAAGACCCTGGGCAGACACCTCCGTTCCTGCCGATGGTGCGCCCTGCCAGCCTCGGGGTCCGGCCGGTGGCACCTCCTTTTCTCACGCTGTTTTTGCAGGCAGTCCAAGAGGATTTGAACGAGCGGTGGAGCGATTCCCCTCAGAGCGTGCTGCAGTCAGCAGATGTTTGTAGCAACAACGGGCAGCTTTTCCAAAACAAGACAGTCCGTATTAGTCAAGCAGGATAGAGTGCTTTAGGGTCATTGGGTTATGACGGAAAAGCAATGCCTGCTACTGTGCCGTGGCTGGTAGCAAGCTCTTTTTCTCTTGCTCTCAATCTTTCTCAGGCTCCAACAGCCACCATTTCTTCCTCCGCTTTCCGAGCCTTGGCTGGGGGCAGCTGACTTCCCGTATGACATCACCACACCTTTTAGTAAAGCTATTGTTTTCCCCACATCTTCTGCCAGTTATTCCAGAGGATCGCTGCCTGCCTGGTGTGTCGCTGTCCCCACAAGACGAGCTCATCCATGTGTTGAGACTTCTTGTACATCCCTTCCTACCACTCCAGATAGGACAAATAAACAATTCAGGCACCCATCTCCTGCATGACTGTCTCAGAAGACAAATCAACTCTTCCAGTCCCAGTGGCCCAAAAGCGTATTTTGGTGGAAAATTCAAAATCTGAGCCCACTGCAGCAATCTAGTATAGCGGAGAAGGTTGCCCAAAGGGATTCATGCTTTAGCAGGGTCTGTCACAGATGAAGAGGTTGGAGCTGACTTGACTTGGCCATTACATAAATGTTGGGAGAAGCACAGGGAAGGCTCTTGTTCATCGGTACCATTCAGAGCTGAGGCTGAGCCCTCACCAGTGGGCTCACAAAAACACCACTCTGTAGAGCCAGGCAGGAGCTTTAGACTTCACAGAGAGACGACAGCCAGGAGGAGACGGTGCTATCACCAATATGCTACTTTAATCAGCATTGAAAACATATGATCAACCTTGAAGGAGGCTTTTAAAGACTGAAATAAGAAGATGTACTACAATTTCAATTTATTCTCTCTCCCTCTGTCACTGTGATTAAAATATGTGGTTGATCCTGGAAGCTCTACTGCAGCTTGTACAAAACTGTAGTAACAGCATTGACCATAATGGAACTTGCAGCTGGAGTTGGGTTGTTTGGTTTCTTTCGCTCTCCCATGAGTCTTCCTTGAGTCTTTTTTTTCCATTCTGCTCCATACAGATTTTGATCTTTCCTTTATTAAATAGGAATGGTTATCCCCACTGAGTCACTTACCTAATAATAGCGAGAACCTTTTAATTCAAATTATTTGATTCCTGTTTTTTTTAGATTAAAGTAAACATACGGTTAGAGCATTTCTGAGAGAGCGGCAATAGAAATACTATGGTCAAACTACCCCGTGACGCAATTCTGTAAAGTGCACCAAAGCCCTTTAAATACATTTCACAAGTACTCGGTGGTGACCTCATTAGAAGGTCTGGAAACCCAGAGTGGTTTCTGTCCTGTGGTAGCTCAATTTCACAACTCTGAATACACTTTTTTTTGGAAGGAAAACTATCCAAAGGTTTTTATGAAACATTCTTTAGCCTTTGGGAATAAGCCAGTTAAATGCCAGGATATCATTCCATTTCAAAGAGTTGAAGGACTTGAGGAATTGCAATCTGCTTTCTGAACAACGTGAGATGAATATAGTTGTGGTTTCATTGGAAACCAAGCTGCAGAGTTTGGATACAGAGCTCAACTTGTTCAAAGTCCAGCTGTGGCTCTTGGTTTGTCAGCTGGATTTCCCTGCAGTGCTCCTTTGGTAACCGCCCTTCTGAAGGAGCCTGCTCCAGCATAGATGAACACTTGCGCTGGGAGTAGGTAGCAAAGGAAACATGGCTGCCAGCCAAAGTTTCTATCTTTCGTTGGCCTTAAAATGGGAAGGGAGGGGAGGTCCCTCCGTAAAGTCAAGAACTGCCAATAGAAAAGCATCCCCACTTGCTTTGAAGATCACTTTGGGTTCAATTACTATTTTTCTACTTGCAATTGAAAAATGGGCAGGAACACAGGGAATAAGCCCCCAGTGATTAAAGGAGAAATAGCAAGCTGTGAAAATGCCTCCTGAAAGATGCAGTCTCGGCCGCAGCCGCACTCGGCAGCACCAGGCACGCACACATCGCCACCCGCCACCTCCCAGCCCACGGCACGAGTCACCAAAAAAACCTGCCGGAGCCACAGAGACGCTCAGTCACATCTAGCTTTATTTTAATCCCGTCAGAAAAGTTCAAGAATTACACCAAAAAATACTTCAGTCTCTGCTACCTACTGACAAAAAATACACCACAAAATTATAAACTGTTCAGTGGTTTGCTGGAGTTTTGATTGTTGGTGGAGGGGGTGGTTTGTACATTTTGAGAGAGAAATGAATTTACAGGTGGAAGGGGAAGGAAGGATAGGAAATCAGACGATGGCATTTGGCACTACATTTTTAGCTACACTATACAGTTATTTATCATGATGCCTGGTAGGACTGAGGAGTTCTGCCCTCATTTACACCATCTAGTGTCTATGTATGCGAAATGGAGGACAAAACTGCCCAATGCAGTGGAAGAAGGGGCCAGTTCCTAATTTCCAGCCCGGTCTAGCCACAAATCTGAAAAAGCAGCCTTAGTCAAATGTGAACCTTGCCCTTTCTGTGTGCTCTGCTCCTGCTGCTCAGTCTCACCCTGCCTGTGCTACTGAGGAGCAGAGCTGCTTTGTAGCAACAGCTTGCAGCTCTAAAAAAAGAGAATCCTTTTTTTTTTTTTTTTTTTTTTTAAAATCCCACCAGTCTGCACTAATTGCACACGTCGTTTGTGGGGAGAGGATGTTTTACATTGGCCAGGACTGCATTAAGCTTGGGGTCTGGTCTGTATTTGCAAGCAGAGATTTGTTGAGACCCTTGTACTCTGAGAGCATGCTACAGGCATCCCTCTCTAATTAGCTAGAATGGCATTAAATACTGAAGTATCTAAAGTTGAAGGAGGGAAGCAGGAGCATCCCATTTCATGGGTGAGGGAAAATTAGGGGCTGAAAAGTTAGAGGCTTAATACTGTTCTATCACCACTCTTGAGAGGCTCCTCAATTTATAATGGCATTTTTTTGTCTCCTGGTGACCCTCCAGAGGGAGGTCCCAAAGGATGAAGCCTCATGTAACTTGCCAAAGGTCATGCAGGAAATCTGTGCGAGCAGCAGAAATAAAGCCCCGAACTCCTGACTCCTAGCCCTGCGCTCAGAAGCATATCCTTGATTTCACTATGGCAGCCTCCATCTGCTTCCACCCCGCTCCATATCCAAATGCCAACCAGGATTTCAGCCTCCAAGCCCAGCCAAGATCACCAGCACAGTGGCAGCTCATCACAAATGCCTAGATCTTTCTGGATTTACTTAGGCCACTGTACAGGGCTGCGCGTGCATGTGTGCTTGCACATGTGCATGTTTCAGGGAGGAGGGGATGCTTGGATTTCTCTATCGGCAAATGAACACTGATGCTAGATTCAGTCTGACAGCAACATATCCCTGCTTTGGCAAGCTAAACAATATCACAACATCCTTGTAACAGGTTCTCTCTACCCTCTCTCTCGAAAGGATTTCAGCTTCAGTGCATGTTAAGCCATGTCACAGCTTTCCAGCAATGATAAAACTTTGTGGGATTCTCCTTGCTGCTTTTATCCTCTCTCGCTGTTTGCCTAATTTGCTTTTTTTGTTTTTTAATTTCTTTTTCTAACAAATAGTTAAGCAATGATTTAAAAATATTTTTACATCGTAAGGTACAGTCAACATCAAACATGCCTTTGTACAAGAGCTCGACTCGGTTACAAATCAACGAGAACAATGCACGAAAAGAAATATCCATTAAGATGACTCCTGCACTTGGGTTTTATTTATTCCTGTCGTGCTGTTAGCACAGCACCCTCAGCTAGAGCAATGCAGTATAGACATGGTGTGGTCCCCCCACCCTCCCACTTTGCCCGTCACCACTTGTTAATTTTAATGACCTTCTGTCTTGGCAGCCTTGCCTTCATGGTTTACCGATCCTGAAGACAGCCAGGGCGATACGGCCCGGGAGCTGGTCTGCTTGGCCATGCTGTAGTGGCTGATGACGGTGTAGAACCTGCCCCGGGAGTTGGAATCCTGTGCAGAGTAGTACGCGTCCAGCGAGGCCGGGATGCACCGCTTGTGCTGGAAGTGGGAAGAAAGCGAGAGAGGTAACGAGTGGTCCCATCAGCCCCAGGCTCTCGCTTTAACAATCTCAGGCTTAGCTGTTCGCCCGGATGACGTTTGACTCGGACTTGCTGCAGTGAGAGCATCTGCTGCGCAGCCCCGAGTGCCTTCCAGCACCGTGGGAATGCACAAAGTTTAGTGTCGGGCAGCAGCCTTCAAAACCTGTTGCTATTGGCAACCCTGATTGCAGGCTGATTTCATCTGTGGATGGGAAATGGGGACTGTAAAATGAAGGTCTGACTGGTTTGGTACGTTAGGGGCATGCACAGAGACCGAGGCCCCATGCTGGAATTCTAGCAGGGCCGGCTGAGCGGCTCTTACCATGTGCTGGACGGAAAGCTCTGTAGAGCAAAGTCCAGAATTAATCCTGAGACAAGCAGAGGACAGGCAGAGGCAGAGCAAGGTGCTTGCGCGCTGCTCTGTGACAGCGTGTGATCTCTGGCCTGTAGGACCACCACCTTGGTCGGGGATGGTAGGAAGTGTAGCCCAACTGCCCAGCCCTTGTCAGAGCTTTTTGTCTGTGCAGCCACTGCCCATGCATCTCCGCTGCGCTAGGGCGGACACTTGTGTGCCAAGAACCGCACAGATAAAACAATTCACTTTGCAACAGCTGTAAAAGAGCAATCAAATGGTAACAAATGCCGGACTGGTTGGTATTCACCAGAGTCAAAGTAGCACCAAGGACACAAAGGGCCCCAGGTACAATTATTATTAAATTATGAGATACCCCAGCTCCCAGGTCAATGGGACTAGCTGAAACCTGAGTCCAAAACCTTTAATCTTTTCAGAAGGTCAGGTTTGGATCTGATTCTGAAATTCATGACTCCATCCTAACTTCGTTTTTATATAACCTAAGAGAATAGTTCACAACGACTAATACGCCAACATCCTTACTCTGTTTTCCAGCCCACAGACTATCCCCGACGTGGTCAAGACTCCTGTGAGTTTATGAGCTTATTCACAGTACAGAGTCACTGAACTATTTTGCAAACTTCTTTTTTTTTAAATCTCAACAGACCAGGCAAATCGTTCTCTGTGAATATTCAGTATAAAATCACTGGGCAGTGCGGGTTTAGCAATTAAGTTACATGGTTTTGTTCTTGACAGAAGCTCAAAAGCAGCTAAAAATGAACGACAGGGGCAAATTCGGATTTCACAAAGGACACATGTGCCAGCACTCTGGGAGTTTGCTTTGCATTAACATGTATGCCAGTAAACCTCAGTCACTTGAACGTGTGGGAAGCAAACGCGGGATTCCAGCTGCAGTAAATCCATTCACAAATATGAGGGACTGTTCCTGAACATCTGTCTGTAGTGTTCACCAAATGCTAATCCCAACAATTACAGTGTAACAGTAGCTGATGGAGGCAGATGCAAGTCCACATTTCCCATAACACTTTTCCCATTTCAACACATTCTTGCCAAATGTTCTGTTTGGCCTGGTCAGAAAAGCAGACTAGACTGCAACCATGTAGTCAATTAGAGTCTATCATTATCTCAGGCAATTCATCTGTCTGAAGTTTCTTACCTTATAAACAAATCCATCTGGGCAACTGTGGTCATAAGTAAAGGCTTTGTATACCACAAGGAACACTATGCAGGCAAGGAATGCAAGAGCCAGACTGATGAGAATAGTGACCTACAAAAGAGGGATAATGTTACTCTACATATGTTAAAATGGCATATGAGCAACCTCATAATTAAATGACTTATAGTAACAGCCATCCTAACAGACTGCAGTCTTCACTCCACTGTGCAGTACTTAACTAAGCATGGTAATTGAATGAATGCTGGATTCAATAGCCCTGAATTCTCACATCATTTCCATCCATCCCACCACAGACCTTCAGGAGTGCGCATTCCTGTGTTTAACCCCTTGCAAATGTACGGATTTTGCTGAGGCATTTGGTGTTCTTGCAGGCTTTGTGTTCCCATGCTCTCAGCTGTTCAACCGGCAGCATCATCTGCTGGCCCAGCAGGATCCGCCAGCAGCCAGAGTCCACATTCGGAGTCTAATCTGTGCAGATAAGCTGCTTTACAACCATAGCGAGATCCTGTTTTTCTGATAGCAGAGGTAGGTGAGCAGGTAGGAAGAATGAAGCCTTTGTAGCACACATCCCTTTGCGCCTTCTGGGTGATGCAACAAGGATAAGTTGTGCCTCAAGTACCCTGCAAGAGGGAAGGGCAGGAAAGGGAATCCTTCTCTATTTATCAAAGCTGTAAAAGGAGAATACCCCAACCAGCCACAAAGCCCAGCATGTAAATCCCACAGTATGTCCAAGAGCAGATGCCGTTGTTGGAGGTACCAGACACAATACCCTCTCCAGGGCTCAAATATTTCCCCTCTCCTCATTCCCAAGCAGGTTACTTTGCTGCACCATTCTGTTTCTTTCCTGTAGCTCCCTTCTCTCCAGCCCTTCCAGGTCCCTGTTAAATAGTTTGTTCAACAGCAAGTTTCCTGGCCCCATTCAGATGTTTGGAGTGAGGCCCTGATCCTTAATTTTAGCTAAGCTGTGTCCTGCCTAAGGCCTGAGCGAGGGTCCCAAATGCGCTCTCATTCTCCCCTCCCCAAAGCTTTCTTGCTCACAGCCGGTAATTCCACAAATGCAGCATAAACTGCTCTGGACTTCTACTGCCTAAATTACAGCAACCCATCCTTTCAAGACTGCTGTCTCACACTGGTTTGGATTGGCATAAAAAAAATATCATAATCCCTGGGGCTGCAGTGTTACCATGCAAACTAGAGTTCCTAATCAAATGAACTCACTTACAGAGATGATGGGGGTGGGAACAGCAGCAGGGGAAACATTTAAAGCTGTTGCACATCCAGCAGCATGGGGAGGGAGCTGCGGCAGCTCCCCAGCTTGCTCAGGCTCGCTGGGACTGCACACCAGCAGCCCACGTTCTGCAGGGTGTTTGCCTGCATGGGGAAGGGGCTGCGACGTTCCTGCGCTCGGTGAGACTGTGAGAGCTCACGCTGAGGCAGTTCCTACAGCAAAAGTTTGAGGTCAGGCATGGGTTTATAGGAGGGATAGTGACCAGTGAGGCTTTTTTCCTACCCACAACCTCAAACTATTTGCTTGAGAATCCCACTTTCCTATCACGGCACCAGAAGCCAAGCCCAGGGCTGTAAATTTTCCCTAGTCCCATCAAAACCCATCCACTAAGAGAATGGCAATGGTAGGACGTGGCAGGGACTGTGTGCCTGCCCCCAGCTAACGCCCCTACCTGCAGGCATGCTACCACCGTACCATGCACGTGCTCATCCTCCAAAACATGCCCCCATCCCAGTACCAGGGCTGCACCTAAAGGCAATCATTACCACTTACTGGCCTAGCAAGGAAAAGCCACACATTTTTCAGCTCCCTCTAGTCTTTCAGGGTTCCTCCGCCCTTTTGCTGTTACAGTTATGTCACAATCCTCTTCGTTTTCTTGTACAGATGTTCAAGGAAACTGGATAGTGGGTACAGGCAGAAGTTTGTTCCTCAACTAATATATAGGAGACTGGTGATGGTAGAAAGTGGGGGACTACAGAGATCATTCCTACAGTAGACTGGACAGGCTTGTCAGGAGCAGCAGCTACTGAAGAGCAAGCTGGCCACATCGCAGAATTCATCAATATAATATTATTAATATAACAATAACATTGTGTAATATCAGTAATATTATATCAATAAAGATATACTAATTGCTTAATATTGGTTCACACTGAATTTTGCTCTAATTCTCTCCTTTGGTCATCATAGCAGCTGTAATTCTGAGCCTCTGTATGACATGCAATCCCTGCACAGACTCAGAGGGGCCACTGTAATTGCTTGCAGTGCAGGAAAAGACTTCTCATCCTCATCAATCCTGCAGAAAGATGCACTGCCTGGTGAGAGGTACATCTCACACAGCACATTTGGGACTATTACTCAGAGAAGCTAAAGCAGCCCAGGCAATGCCACCTGTAGTGCTGGAGGATCCAGAGATACGATTTTGGTGGCTGTTTTAGGACAAAAAGAAGGAGTGAAGGTAAATCTGCATGTATGGTGTTAAATCTGACCCAACACTTCCAGTTCAAAAATCAGGAAAGAGAGAGGTGTGGAGACTATACCTGGCAGGAGAGATTCATTGTTAAGTTCATTGTTAAGTCAGAATATTTTAGAATAAAGTATAAAAAGGTAAGAAAATTGGAGCTAACAGGCTTTTCCAGTGATGAACAGTTCACTGAAGCCCCAACCTGCTTTTTAGAATAACTGCTCATATTAACCTTCTCCTTGGGGCCTAATCTGCTGCAAAATGGGTAAATTAAGAAAAAGGCAGCTGCAGAGGGAGAAGCACTTACTGCTGGATCTCATCAGAGAACATGTGTAAGAGAGTCCTGGTGTGCTGAAAAGGTAGCTGGTAGGAAAGGAGTACAGCTGGATGAATTGCACTAGTCTGACCAAGGAAATATGGGCTCCACCTCCTCCCCATCAAAGCACATTTGCCTGTGAGTTTGAATAGAAATATTTCAGACCAGCTTTACGGTAGGCCATGGGTCCCCAGCCTGGGGAAGCCATGTCCCTTTTCATAGTGCTGAAGAGGAAGAAGACTCAGTTGGATTCAAGGGAGATGGAAATGGAATTTGCCATGATTTCTGCCCCCACAATAAGTCATATTACACCTGAAAAAATGAAAAAAGTTACTTTGAAAAAGTATAGTCAAAAGGAGAGACTTCCTGGATTTAAGTATGCCAACACTCTCTACTTTTTCCAACAGGAGACCTAGGAAAAAAGACCCCTGTCCAAAAAGACCCATCACAACCCAGCTCTGGCAGGCCAGTGTGGAAGAGCATTTCCCCCTGTAGAATACAAGTTCATCAACTCTTCCCCATTTAAAAGGGGAGTGTGTTAGGCCTGGTACTTCCTCCAGTAACAATTTCTGTAGCAATACAAAGATGACAATGTCCCCTCTGAGGTTAGTTTGAAGGCACTAAAGTAAGACATACATCTTGCTCAAACAAATCCAATGCTTAGAGGGCAGCCCTGGCTAGAAATCCAGAAAATAAGAAATGCTCAGCTCTCCAGTTTGGTTGTTCTGCCCTAAATACCATGTACAGTGGAAAAAGAAATCTTGCTTGGGTTAAGCTGAAGGAACAAACTTGTGCTCAGGGCAAAGGAAGAGACAAAGGGCAATGAAATTACACCGAATGCCACCTGGGAATGCATAGAGCGTAACTCAGTGAGAAAGCACCTCTTGTTCCTGCGCAATACGAAGCCGCTCATCCTCTAGCTTTCTTTAGGAAATATAACCTTCATGGCCAGGGCTAGCAACAGCTGCACACCAGCGGGACGCATACACCCGGTGCTAGGATTCCTCCTGCCCCAATGTCCACCTGGTTCCTTCCTCCCACTCTGCATTCCCCCTCTCCCTGATGCCAGAGGGACCCCTCAGGGCTGACTGCACCCGGACAACAGGCTGTGAAAGGGGAATATCCCTGAACTGGCAGACATCTCCCTCACCCAGAATGACTCGGTGCCTGCCTTCCCCCAGAGCTGCCACCAAAGCTGCTTTGAAGGCTTCTCACTCTGAGCCCGTTAAAAAGGCCAAGTTCTTCCTTTAGCCTTCAGAAAAAGAAAGAACTGAGCTGTCTGGGGTGAGAATGAATGTCCCTTCTTTTGTTAAATCCCACGTACATGCACAGCCTATGGAAACGACCATTAGTAATGCAACTTGACTGGTTCCTTTCCTCTTGTCTGCCCACTGAGCCCCTAAAAATAACAAATTCCCCTCTGCTCTGTCACTCTGCTCTGGCAAAGTGCTGACACCCAATTCATTACCTCCCAGGAGCAGGTCCCTCCACCGACCTCTCCCTTCCTTTTGGGGGGTAATTGAGCCCATTCTCACCTCCCTCCTGCTGTTTCATGCACTTGCAAAATTATAGCATGACACAATATTACACATGATGATACATAGTGTAAAAGTACTCTGGGATGAAATGTCACCTAAGATGTTAAAACCCAGAGGCAAAGGAAGAAAAATCCACCCCTGGATATTTTGCCACGCCAGAGCCGAGATCCACCTCTCCAGCCGTTCCAGAGCGCACGAAGCTTCATTAACATTCAAACACCAAAGAATCACAGAGCTGCAATACCTAATAAACCTCCACTTTTTTTTATGATTAACATGAACCTTGGCAGTCTCTGAGCAATATATACACTCACAAAGGGGAAATAAAATTTAGTGAGCAGATAAAACCTAGAAGTGCTGCAGGCATGAATCTGTCACGTGTGACTGCTGGAGTGGGTAAAAGAAGGGGGGGATTTGCCCGCCCCTTCCCCAAAGTCTCATATGGTTCCCAAAGGTTCCCTTAAGAGGGGAGTATCTGCTGGAACGGAGAAGAGAGAACATCATTACCACACCAAAAACCTCCCCGTCCTCCACAAAACATGGGAAGAGGCCCTTAGCGTCAGTGAAAGATGATGTCAACCTCCCATCAACAACAGCGCACTTGGCTTGGTTCCTCCTGACCTTTCCTGTAGATGAAGTACGTGTTGCATTTTCACAACAGCACAGATTAAAAAAAAAAACAAACACCCTCATCAAGCAACAGGACAAAAGTTGCCACTCAGTTTTGTTCCAGTGAGATGATATCTAATTGCAGTGGTGTTCCAG